TGGCCTGGAGTCCGATTGCCATCATGCCCGTGAAGAACCCTCCAAGCCTCAGCCCACAGATGAGCCATGCATGTCTGATAGGAACCAGCTTGAACAGCCACAGGCCCCGCGGTGTACAGGATTGAAGGCCTCCTTCAAGGTTGTTGCTAGCTCGAATTCGTTTGTACCTAGATTCCGTAAATATCCGGATCGCGTTAATGCAAAACCCTTGGAACAGATCAACACCAGGGAAGGGGATGTGAACATTCCGCCAGTCAAAGAATCGCCTGAATTGTCATTTGCAGTGCCTGCCCCAGCCGTGACTGCCTCCGCAAACCAATCTCTAGATCCTGCCCCTGAGCCTCGCGAGTCCCAACATGGCCTGCAACTCAACAGCAGCTCCCGCCATGAATCTGGCCACGCGCTACGCTCGCCTGAGCGATGGGGCCGTAACTGTGACTCTGGAGGAAGCCCGCACCATGCCATTGGCAGAGCTCGGCCAAGTGGAAGTGTCTTTCGGAACCAAGGTTCGTGGAAGGACCTACGAGGACGTAGCCCAGTCCGAGCCAAACTGGGTGAAATGGTGCCTAGAGCACCTTTCCACAAGCAGCAAGCATGCCCATCGCTTGTTTCTGCTGTACATGGAACGTTTCGTGGCCCAATCCGAAGAGCTCGAAGCAGATCTGCTAATGGCCAACATGACCGAGGATCCCAAGCCCCTGCAAGCACAGTCCAGGGGGGCTCCCAAGAGCAAGGCCATGAGCAAGCCCTCGGCCAAGCCTCCCGCGAGTGTCGAGGAAGATCGCTGGGACATGGTGTCAGCTCCGAGCGCAGTGCAGCATGTCGAGGGTCAGGTGCATGCCCTGACAGATCGAATGACGCATCTGGAAGGGATGCTTCAGCAGGTGCTCCAGCACTTGCAGGCGACCTCGGTTCCTCCGGAGTCCTCTTAAGTGAAGTTGAGGGATGTAAGAAGGAGCTTGAAGCATTGCTAACGGGGACTGATTTGTCACGTGACCTGGAACATTTGCAATGGGTTGAGGATGAAGCCAAAACCTTGATAGAACAGTCTAGCAGTGAAAAGGAGCTAAAAGGGTTTCTTCGGAAGATTCCATGGAATGAAATTAAGGATCCCAAGAATATCCGCACAATAGCCAATAAGCAGGCTCAGGAGGAACAGAAGCCTTCGGCTTACTTGATGTTCGGCATGTATTCACATGGAGGAGTCTTCGGGGTGACCCGAGTGTCTCGTCAGTTTCCTTGGCTGACCCAGGTGATCACCCGCACCGTGCAACTAACTCAGCCCGAACACTTGTTTACCTCCGTAGCTGTTTCTTGCAATATTGCTGTTGAACCCCACCACGACAGCTACAACGATCGTGACATACCAAATTTAGTAATACCCTTACAGTTCCCCTCGGACGGGGGAGAGATCTGGGTCGCCAGACCGCCCCGGTCCCATTCAGGTGGGACACTCGATGAAGTGCAATGGCCAGGAGATTTCGGGATCCTTACAAAGCTTAAAGGGGTCATTGCTTGTGGACCCCCACATGTGGCATGCCTCGATGCCTTGGAAAGGGAATCGGACCTTAATGATAGCCTTTGCTCTTCATGCGTTCCATAAATTGGAGCCTTCACAAAGCCAAGAGCTCGAGAGCCTAGGATTCCCCAGTACTGGACTCCAAAACTCCTCAGATTTGCCGAACATCTCTGCAGTCAGTACGAAACTGCCCGAATCTCCTCTGCGCCAGCAGCTTCGATTCGTGGAGCCGCTCAGAGAGAGCCTGTCGCTCTCGTGCGCGGCTCAGACCGCTGCCGAAGCCTGTGAGCAAGCCTTCTGCAAGGCGCAATCCGTGTCTTGGGATGTGTTTCAAGTTTCCATGCTAGCCTATCAACAATCTATAGGCGAGCCCCTAGATCTCCTAGAGATTACCAGCGAATCAGATAGTCGGTTGACTGAGATGGTTTCCAAACTTGGTGGTAAAGCTTGTCGATTCACAAAGAAAGATGGTGATCTCACATCATCTTCCCGGCCAAAGGGAGTTGTGGAATTTGATACAGACGACACAGCCCAGGCACATCTGGATTTCTCCGGACTGTCGGTGGTGGACTGCATGGTCTAGGCTTAATGCCGCCCGTAAACCTCAATACCACCAACAGGTAGTGCAGAACCGACAACAGGAACGAATCCAACTTCAGCTTTTCGCAAAGATCTTTCAGTGGCAACGGAAGCTTGGAAGGGGGTTCCATATGGAACAACCAGCATCCGCAACTATGCTTGAGGCTCCAGAACTGGGTAGTCTAGTCCAAGGGACGTTTAGGGTAACCGTGGATATGTGTGCATTTGGCCTAAAGACTCCGGTGAGCCATCGCCCCATTCGTAAATCCACCCAGGTTCTGAGTAACTCCCAAGACCTGATCCGTAGCCTTGTGTGTAAATCCTGTCCGGGTCATCAAGATCACCAGCCCGTTGCCGGGAAACTTCGTGAGTTGCGAGGTAGGAGTGTTGCGCAGTATGCTGGGTCCTATTGCCAGGGCTTCGCCGAACACTGTGCACAGCATCTGTTGCAAGAGAAGTCTGCTCAAGCCCTCGCCTCTGATACTCCACCCGTACTGACCCGTAAGCGGTTTAAGACCTCCTTGGGAACCCCTAGTCCCGTAACTAGCCTCCGTCCGCAGAAACGAGCAGCAGATGCTACGCAGGAGTGTGCACAGCCCGACCATACGCGTCCACGGCTGGACGCCACGTCCGAAGTGCTTGAGCCCTATGCTTTGTCCCAACATCAGTGGAGCCCGATCTTTGAGGTAGCTAATGAGTGTAACTCTAACGCATCGCCTAGTCTTGTACCACCACAGCATCCCCTGATAGCTTTACTCAGCGCGGCCATTCCGGAATATAGGGTGTTGCAAGTCTTTGTGGGTCGTGGTAGTCGTAACCTGCATCAGCCATTAGGTGCACTACCAGCCACCGTTGCACCCTGGCGCATCAGCCTGTGCTCTCGCGCAACATCGGGCAATGCCGTTGAGTTTCAATGTCTGGGCCTAGAGGACCGGACTACCATGCACCACGAGCGTCTAAGGTTGCGGATTGCTCCTGTGAGGACACTGATTACTCTCTTTGTCCAAAAGCCTCCAGAGACGGAAGCCCCTCTTCCCACAGAGAATCCAGAGCAATCTGCACCGGCAGACCCACCCAGCCTGGAGGGCTGGGGTCCACCTCCGATTCCTCTTCCTGGCCCGTCGTTTCGCAGTTTGTCCAGCGAAGATAAAGTTCGGTTGCGTAAGATACATGCCAACCTTGGTCATCCAGCTCCCGAAACACTCGCTCGTCATTTGAAGGCTGCGAAAGAAAGCCAGGCCCTGATGGATGCCGCGCTGGACTTTCAATGCGATGTGTGTTTGGAATCAACCGAGCCGAGGCATCAGAGACCTAGCAAGCTACCAGAGCCCAGCAAGTTTAATGATATGGTTGGGGTCGATGGTTTCTTCTTTAAGAGTAGATCCGGGTATCGAACCTACGTGTTACACGCCATCGATGAGGCCAGTTGCTTCCAACAGGCTCGCCGAGCTGCCAGTAGACATGGGTCACAAGCAATTCAGATCTTCAGTGATTTCTGGATAAATTGGGCTGGACCCCCTAAGCAGGTATATCTGGACCCAGCGGGAGAATTTCGGTCGGACTTGGTTTTAGGGTACTTCCAGAGTTTAAATGTGAAAACATACGTGACAAGCGCAGCTTGGCAGCGTGGCCGTCTTGAGCGACATGGCGACATACTGAAGGATATGCTGGCCCGCCTAGATCTTGAGCATCCTGTCATAAATGACACTGTCTTTGATCAAGCTCTTTTGCAGGCTGTCGTAGCCAAGAATGCCCTTGTGAGACATTCCGGATTTTCCCCCGAACAAATCGTTTTCGGAAAGTCCTTGAGGGTCCCCGGCAGTGTGTCGTCAGATGAAGACTTGTCCGCGCATGCTCTTGCAGAGGGCGCTGATTTGGAGTCTGAAGCCTACCGACAGCGGCTAGAGCTCCGATGCAAGGCACGCCGTGCTTTTCTTGAAGCTGACAATTCACAAGCAATCCGCCGGGCAACCTTGCGACGGAGCAATCCCGTTCGTGGGCCCTTCACCGCAGGGATGTGGGTGCTGTACTGGATTAAGAAATCATCACCCAATCGTCTCGCCGCTGGTCGCTGGCATGGGCCGGCTAAGGTGGTGTGTAGTGAGGGTAAGTCCATAGTCTGGTTAGCTCATGGGACAAATATCATCCGGTCAGCTCCTGAAAACTTGAGACCTGCGTCCTTGCGAGAGTGGCAGAGTCTTACTGACTCTTCACTGGGAGAGTCGTGGCGCAATGCCGGAGGAGCCAGCTCCTTTCTTGACTTGACTGGAGCCTCTGACGCCAGCGTTCCCACTTCAGTCACTGCCTCGCTAGGATCCCTACCGCCTGAGACCACTGTCCTTGTGCCACAGGCCACAGTAACACCTTCGACCAATAGTCTTTCTCCCAGGAACCTTGATGAAGTAGCCCAACCAGAGCAGGAACTCACTCCTCAGGTAAGTCAGGAGGCACCTGAAGTGGAGCGCGAGTCCCTTGGGGACACCGCTGCCCCTTTAGTGCCGACTGTGTCTTCTGAAGCGATGCCCGGTCCTCCCGCAGGTGACCAAGTAAGCCCCCATGAAATTCCCGTTCCTGACTCAGATGAGGGTCTCTTAGGAGAGCATGTGTACTCAGCCTGCGTGGAAACCGGTATCCCTGAGGGGACCGGAAGCGAATTAATCAATTTCACAACAGTTCAAACATCCGAGGACTTTACGGGACCTCCACTTGCCGAAGATGGTTTGCCTTTCGTCACAGAGCCCCTGTGCCCTAATGAAGATCAGGCATTTTGCCTTGAGGTTCCCGTGAAACCAAAGGATATTAAAAAGTGGTCTGCCGAAAGCGCCCCGGAACAACTTGTTGCCATCGCGGACGCGGGAAAGCGATCACGTGCCGAAGTGAGCGTCAAACACTTGACAAAAGCCGAAGCCGCCTTGTTTGATGCAGCAAAGCAGAAAGAAATTTCCTGTTGGATACAGACATCTGCAGTTGCCCCCATTTTGCGCAAAAGGCTTAACCCCGAACAGGTACTTAAGAGTAGGTGGATCCTTACTTGGAAGGCCCCAGAAGAAGGCGAGAGTCAACCCCGCGCTAAGGCTCGACTTGTAGTTTTAGGGTTTCAAGATCCCAAACTTGTCGAAGTGCTTAGAGATGCTCCAACATTGTCGCGAGAAGGACGGGCACTCGTCTTACAGACAATTGCATCTAAAAGATTTCGCCTGGGATCGTTTGACATCAAGACAGCATTTCTCAGAGGAAAAGCAGACGAGAACAACCCCCTGGCAATGGAACCTCCACCAGAGTTCCGTCGTGCCTTAAACTTGAAAGAAGGCGAAGTCTGCCAGTTGCTAGGGAATGCCTATGGCCGTGTAGACGCTCCTCTTTTGTTTTACAAAGAGTTGAGTAAGCAGCTGCTAAGTCTTGGATTCATTAGGCATCCTCTAGAGCCATGTGTGTTCATGTTGTATAACCAAAGTCGCTTGCATGGCATTTGGGGAATGCACGTGGACGATGGAGTCTGCGGTGGAGATCATGTATTTCAAAAGAAGATTGAAGAACTTGAGAAAACTCTTCCTTTTGGCAGCCGAAAACATGGTCGATTCACCTTCACAGGAATCCATCTTGAACAGTTATCCAACTACTCTATCAGAGCCTGTCAAGATTCATATATTCGAAACATTTCCCACATAGATGTAGGCCGTCATCGCCGACAGACTCCGGAGTCTGAGGTCACAGAAGCGGAACGCTCCAAGTTGCGAGGGCTGGTTGGGAGTCTTCAATATGCCGTCACTCACTCTAGGCCCGACGTTGCGGCTAAGTTACGAGAAGTACAGGGATCCATCACCAATGCCACAGTATCCACCCTCCTTCAAGCCAATAAGGTTCTTAGAGATGCCCAGGAGTTCAGTCATGTAGGCATAACCTTCTTGCCCATAGAAGTAGACCGCTTGACTTTTGTGTCCTTTGGAGATGCCTCTTTCGCATCATCCAAGTGCCTGACCTCGCACCAAGGAGCGCTGATCTGCGCCACAGATGATCGACTGCTGTCCAATCAATAGGCTCCCCTATCTCCCCTAACTTGGAGCTCAAAGAAAATCCCGCGAGTAGTCCGATCAACGCTGTCAGCCGAAGCCTACGCAATGTCTAAAGCCGTGGACATGTTGGGCTGGATGCGTTGTCTGTGGGGTGTCGTCCATGTAGCCGGGTTCAAGTGGCAGTCTCCTGAGACTTGCTGTGACCAGCTGAACAAAGCTGTAATTATCACAGACTGTAAATCTCTCTTTGATCTAGTCACGAGGCTCGCTATGCCCACATGTGAAGAATTTAGAACAACCCTTGAAGTGCTCCTTATAAAGCAGAGGTGTTCTGAAAATACCACATTCCGGTGGGTCCCGACGACCTTGCAGGCTGCAGACTGCCTAACGAAGCCCATGGATGCTTCCGTTCTCCGCACCATTCTTGCCCAGGGACGCTTTAAGCTATATGATGCAGGGCAGGATCTTGAGAAGAATGTTCAAAGAAAGCAGGCAATTGAATGGCTGTCTCAGACACCGCAGGCCTCACTAGTGTGAGCACCTTGAGGACCTAGCAGGCTGTGCCTTTTTCGAGTCTGGTGATGAGGACTCCTTTGATCTTAAGGCCAACGCACGAACTTTTAGTCAAAAGACTTTGGCCCGTGTGAAATCCGTGCCAAGGCCACCGTTCTTGAACATGTTCGTGTAACCTGTCAACCTCAGAAGTTCTCTCGCCACCCAGGCTCGAAGGGTCTTCAGGGCGGGAGGGCTAGAGGTGCTGCGTGGACGCAGCGCATGGTCCCTCGAGCTGAGCTGTGAGACTGGCAGGAAAACTCGTCTGCAGGGCATCCAGGTTTAACATTGGAACTTCAATTGGTCGACGGGGTCGAGCCACTTCTTCAATCAGTGATTGCGAGATTTCATCTTTCCAACTCTTCATCTTGGCAGGGCCAAGGAAGCTACCAGGGTGAACTCTTTTGAGTTCACAAGGGTTTAGGGGGTTTAGGGTTTAGGGTTAAGGGTTTAGGGGGTTTAGGGTTTAGGGTTTAGGGGTTTAGGGTGTAGGGGCTTAGGGGGTTAGGGTTTAGGGGTTCGGGCTCAGAGTTCAGGGGTTTAGGGGGTTTAGGGTTTAGGGTTTAGGGGCAGTTGTGGGTTTAGGGGCGGAGGAGTCTAGGATGTAGGAGCTTCGGCTTTAAGGTTTAGGCTCGGTTATGGCGATGGCTGGTAGTTAACACCAATCCTGCAGGGAAGGGCTTTCAAGGGTTCGGCAATCCCAGAGCGTCCAAACTGGCTACATAGTAGAAGGTACGGTTTCTACAGTAGGAATCCTTACTATGATTTGGGAACGTCTCCCCCATAACAATACCCGGGATCCTGTTAGAATCAACCTTGAAGACTGAGAACCTGCAAACCAAAACCGCAAAGCCTTAGAACCCTGAACACAAAAGCCCAAACACCCTAAACCCCTGAATCCTAAACCCTAAACCCTACACCTCATAAACCCTAAACCCTAAACGCTGAACCCTAAACATAAAAACCCTCAATCCGAAACATAAAAATCCAACCCCGTAGGCCCTATATAAAGACCCAACTCGCTTGGTGGAATCCTGGATCTTGAGAACATACGGTTTGGGACCAAAAGTAAAGGGCTTTGGGTTTAGGGTTTAGGGGTACAGTTAGATTAGAATGGGGCTGAGGGTATACAAGGGCCTTCATCGTTAGAATTGGGTATAGCTAAAGAAGCTAGATTACAGAACATTATAAATAAGCAAACTTCTCTAAACCCTAAACCCTAAACCCTAAATCCCTATCTTGTTGCAAGCCTGCAGATAAAGATTAGAATCAGCGCCTGCTGATCAGGTCCGATGCCGACTCCACCAGAGACAGGGCCACCTCAGCTACTGGGTTTACCGTTTGGGTTTAGGTATTTAGGGTTAGGGTTCTAGGTGTGCAGCTGAGGGTTTAGTTACACCGAAATTAGCCCTAAAGCCCCAGAGTTGCATGTGTGCACAGGCTTTGGATGAAGGAATTAGCTTCAAGAGTTTTCGGACTGTCTGCCGTGCTGTCTAGAGTCTAGGTATCCATAAACCTCAGACGTGACGTACCCCCAAACCCTAAACCCGAAACCCTGAACCCCAGACCCTAAACCCTAAACCCCCAAGCTCTAAACCCTAAACCCTAAACCCCAATTTCTAAAACCTAAACCCTAAACCCGAAACCCTGAACCCTAAACCCTAAACCACAAACCCTACACCAGGTTTCCGGAGGCCCTCCGAAGTGCGGGCCCTTGCGCAAAGGCTAAGGCTTACAATGTTTAGGGAGTTTAGGGAGCTTAGAGAGTTTAGAGTTTAGGGTTTAGGGTTTAGGGAGTTGAGGCTTGCGAACTTCCTGGCTTAGTTCTTGAATGAACTGGGTCCAAGCTGTTTGAGAGAATGTGAGTGCAATTTCTGTTGTTGATACCCAGTGTAGAAAGCAGTGGAAAGCTGCTATCGGATCCGAAGACAGCCCTAAACCCTAAACCCAAACCTCCTAAACTCGAACTCCGAAGGAACTTCTCCACCGAAATAAATTCGACACTGGTCGATGAATGAAGCGGAACACCACAGAAGCAAGAACAAGACTCCGATATTGTGCGGTGGCTTGCAGTGTAGGACAAGAATCACGACCTCGACCCTACATCTAATACAGGGGCCTTAATAATTAGACTAGGGTTCTGGGGCTCATTATGCTGTAATCATACTAAGGAACCCCCCAAAATTGGTATTGGTAGCTATTTAGGCCCCCACATCACCTTCTTTTTCCATCCCAAATCTTCACTACTTGGGACTACATACCCCCATTTGAGGGTATAAGGCAGGGTTCTGGGAACCTGTGCTTTTGTTGCTTAAGATGCAGGATACAGACAGAGCCGACACCTACCTTTGGAAGGCACAGCAGAAAGTCCTCTTCTTTGAAGACTGGGTAGCTTCTATACATCAGGGTCCCTTTCAACTTGTAAAGCGCTTGCTACAACGGTGCCACCTGCTTTTCCGTTCATACAAAGAGACCCTAATTCAGAGAACTACCCAGATGATGACCCCTTTGACATTCTGCCAAAGGCATCGAGAGAAATGCGCAGGCTGGTAGTTCGAACTCGACCCCAAGCAGACATGCCTTTTTTGCTTGGGGTTCATGGGGGGTTATATAAGCACGGTTCTATGTCCCTTATAATATGGTTTACAGCTATAGTTACCCTACTTATAAACCACACTTATAATTTATAACTACCCACGAACGCCAATTGGGAAGCCTGCCTTGGCAGTGCGTGGATCAACCTGCAGCCATTACCCTCAAAAAGCCTGCAGCCTGGCCCATGCCCTCGACTGTTGCCACATCAAATGCAGTTCTGCCGTCACCTTACTTCCCCAACAAGCCCGGGAAATAGAAGGTTAAATTTTCAGACTACCGTGAAACCTTCAGAACCCAAAAAGTCTAAAGGTTGGGTACTTGGAGGATCATGGGATTTGTAAGTAAGGTTATAAGTCCCCTAATTGGGGTTATAAAGTATAGTTACCCGAATTATAACCCTACTTACTAAGTCCCATGATCCTTTAAGTATGGGAGAACCAAGTCACCATCCAGTGCTCCGGGATCTGCCTTCAGCTCGAGCAAAGCTGCAATAACATCCACATAGCCATACTCAGCAGCCTGGTTCAAAGGTTTAGGGTTTAGGGTTTAGGGTTGCTACTAAAGCTGGGACGAAGAGACGGGCCGATACAGAAGAGTCCTCATTCTAAGGGGTTCGAATTTCCTACCTGCTGTACCTGAACCCTAAACCTTAAACACTAAACCCTAGATCCCCTGCCTTGTGCAGTGGAGTCCTCATTCTAAGAGATTCGAATTTCCGACCTACCTGAACCCTAAACCTTCAACACTAAACCCACTTTTTTGTAGGTTCTTATTATAAGCCCTGATATAAAATTTATAGGGACCCTACCAAAAAAGTAGGTTTTGGGGTTCTTAAGGTAAACCTTGAGCACTAAAGCCTCGATCCCCCTCTGCCTTGTGCAGTAGTCTCCTACCTACCTGACCCCTAAACCTTAAAGACTAAACCCTAAACCCTAGACCCTAGACCCTAAACCCTAAACCCTAAACCCTAAACCCTAAACCCTAAACCACTAAAACCTAAATCCCCCTGCCTTGTGCAGTGGAGTCATCTGCTTCTCGTCTTGCACCTTCGGATCTGCACGATTTTTGACCAAGAGCCTCACCTGGGGTTCTTGTTTAGAGCTTTAGGCTTTTTGTAGGGTTTAGGGTTTAGGCTTTAGGCCTCACCTGGGTTCTTGTTTAGAGCTTTAGGGTAGGGTTTAGGGTTTAGGGTTTAGGGTTTAGGGTTTGGGCTTTAGGGTTTGGGGTTTCTGAATTTAAGTTGCGTGATAACAATAAGCAAAACTAAAAAAGTGCTGTAGATCCCTATCATGGTACCTTATACATTAAGCTCCTAAGCCCTGAAACCTCTTATTTACCATAGATCCCCTCTCTGATTAATGTAGGCGCCTAAACAATAAGACTAGGGTTTTGGGGGGGTATATTCTACTATAGTTATAATAAGGAACCCCCAAAATAGTAGTGGTATTTACCTAGGCCCCTATATTACTTAAGTGAAGTTCCTGAAGAAGAGCCCAGTCGCAGTCTGCTCACGCCCCCATTGCGACGCATAGTGAAGCGCCGTGGCTTTGTCTTCGCCGTTAGTTTCCTTGGTTGCTGCGTTCAAAGGCCCAAAGAAGTTGAACTTTGAGGCTCAGGGAATGACATAGTACAGCATCCCAACTGTGGGAGTTAGGGTTGAGGGAACCCTTGGAGATATATGGTTCACCATATAGACTCTCTCAGGAAGGTCCCTTTTAAGAGAGCCCGCGGTAGGGTTAAGAAGGGTCTCGATTAAAGGTCTACCTAGGAGACTGCTGTAAAGTCTGAGTCGACTGATTGAGCTGCTAAGTTTCATGTGGGTCTGCTCGCAGAGACAGCAGCATCTGCACACAGCCGTTGTGTCCTCCACCACTCGCCACACCCAGGACGCTGTCATCAACCGCCGTCTTTCTCCAGGGATCTGCTCGGTAACGAAGCAAGAGCCGCCCAACGTCTTCGCGTCCCGTCGCCATGGAACAGAAGAATGCAGTTTTTCCGCCACTGCAGGTAAGGTTTGGCAAGGCCCGGTGGGAAAGAAGGAGGTCCACACAGCCCAATTGGCCGCAGAAGCTTGCAGAATGGAGAGCAATAGGAAAGGGGCCACCGTCACAGATGCCATTGATATCATCTGCATGAGGGAGGATGGTCTTCAATACTTCGACATGTCCATTAATGCTGGCAGCAGTCAGCATGGTGCTGTGAACCTTGCTGCTGCGGCTTAGGAAGATTTGGCAGCACTCCACGCTACCACTGAATGCTGCTACGTGAAGTCCGTTCGGTATGGCTTTGTCCTCCCATTTTATGTTCTCGAATTGCCAGAGATCCAGGTCGTACGAAAGGTCCGCGCCCCTCGCTAACAAGTGAGAGAGCGCCTCGTGATGACCTGTTTTCTTGTAGAGGCTCGGGGTAGATGTTATATGGCTTCGTGCTATTGTGACTAGCATTTCGATTGTTTCTGACAATATCATGATTACCAGTTTTATTTTGTATCATCATGGCTTGGGATACGTTTGTCACGGTTATATAGGGCTATTGTATTGTTCTCAAAACTGTTATTACTGTTGTAACATCATTGTGGTTATGATTATTTTCATTTCCATGTACGGGGGATGCCTGTGGCAGCGGAGAGCATCCAGGGTGTGAGGCCATTCTGATCACGAGCGTTGACATCCATCGATGCGGCGATGAGGAGATCAAGAACGTAGAGGTGCCGGTTGTATGCCTAGGTACACCAGATTTAGACTACTAGCCCAGTACTGAGAAGAAGAACCGTTACAACAACAGTAACATACTAATCCAACAATAATAAAAGAGTAACCACTATGACAACAAATAAGATCACATATATAGAACGTAGGGGTGCCTGTATGACTGGTGGCCAGGGGTCCCGGATTCAGGGACCAAGAAGGCGCAGCTTGCGGTTGTGTGCCTAGGTTCAACCTGTTCTCTCTTATTCAGATATCGAAAGATGGCCAACCATGGAGAACACACACCCCAATAACAACCCATATAAAGCCTGCACGAATTGAAACCCGCTACTGGAACCCCTTCTAAATATCACCAAAGCCCTAAACCTCAAAGCCCAAAGCCTTACAAGAATAAGGTAGGTGCCTTGTTTATAGCTTGAATAGGGTTTTCAGGTGTAGTGTGGTTTGATTACATTACGGATCCCTCCATTATAAGGGATATGACTAGCTAAGTAGCTAGGCGCCTATGCTGGCCCCTTAATTCTAGAATGCTCGCAATACACTTGTATAGTACCTTCCAAAGGCCCCATGACCCAAGAACCTAAATCCCAATTCCGAAATCCTATATCCTAAACCAAAAACCCAAACTCCTAAACCCTAAACCCTAAACCCTGCACCACCAAAAACACAGCCCAAACCCAAGAGGCTAACTAACAGGACTTGGGTGCTGCGGCCATGTGGAGAGGCCCTTGGCCCAAAGAGTTGCAGCTCATTAGGTCCTCTTCCTGGTTCGGTTTAGGGTTTAGGGTTTAGGGGGTAGGGTTTAGGGTTTAGGTCCTCCTCCTGGTTCAGTTTAGGGTTTAGGGGTTAGGGTTTAGGGTTTGGCCCTCTTCCTTGTTCTTCGGGGCTCCTTTAAGCGTGTCGGGGGTAGGAATCAGGGTTCTTCAGGGCTCCTTCGAGGGCTACTGTAGGTAGGGTTTAGGGTTTAAGGCTTGGGGCCATGTGCGTTGCTTTCAGGTTCGATTTTCGGGTTGTAGG